TTTTAAGTATAGCTCTGTTTGTCCAGCATGTGTAAATTTACTTGCTGTTGACTGACTCACTACCTCTGCTGAAAGTCGATATATCAAGCATCAACTACTCTTTTTTGCTAAAGTAATAATCATTTTTTAACTTTCCTTTTGCTAATTTTAGGTCATGTCCCCTGTTCTCAATGTTTTCAGCTTTCCCACTTTTATTCTTTGAACTACAGAACACCCCCCATGTTAGAGATGAGATGGGGAGGTGTTCTATAGCCCTGTCTTAGGGGGACAACACTGCTTCTTTATAGAGTCCTGCTGCAATATATTTCTTGTATATTGTTATTGGGTTTAGATACTTTATTGTATTTAAAGGTTTCAGTCATGTTCCTTCCTTTTCTTTTCTTTTCTCTAGACTGTACATATTGGGTTCCTGCAGTCTCTCCTGATATGCATTATCCCTTAGGACAGGGGTAGGCAACCTTGGCTCTCCAGCTGTGCTGAAACTACAATTACCATCATGCTTCTGCCTCTGGCAGTCATGCCTGTGGCTTGCAATGCCTTATGTGATTTGTAGTTTCCGCACAGCTGGAGAGCCAAGGTTGCCTACCCCTGCCTTAGGACATGCACCATTTTTCTTGTCCGTCTCTAGACTTGGATCTTATCAACATCTTTTTGTAAGTGTGGTCTCCAGAACGGGACATGCTATCCTATAGAAACAATGTAAAGGTGTATCGTAGTGGAATTAAGTTGTACACTCTGAAAGCATAATAAGGCATATCCAAAAAATATTTTTGGAACAGTATTGGCATTCTACTAATGATTTTGTTAGTTAAGTCTGCACTTAGGATACCCAGTAGTATTTTGTAGGAGTTTTGTATTGTTTTGGTTTTCTGTTGTAAGCTTACCTGCCTGTAATGCCCCTTTTCACATGTTAGCCCAATGCAAGACTATGGGCAGCTGGGTCTAAATGGACAGGCGTCAGTTTACACTCGGTTGCCCCCAAATTCTTCTAGATCTGGAAAAACAAATGGAACAGTGTTCCATTTTGACAGACTTGACCTTGATGGATCGGGGTAATCTAATGTAAACGGACACATTCCCCATAGACTGACATGGAGTCCGGTCATTTCAGTTTTCTCCATCACAAGATGGAGGAAAAAACTGGATGAAACAGATGTCACAGCAGTGACATGTGAGATCCGTACTGCTTCGATCAAGGTGTGAGATCCATGCATGCATAGGGAGAACTATGGGGAAAAGCCTTAACCCCATAGTTCTCCTTTTTAATAGATTGTAGTATCATAGTTACCATGCTTAGCCTTTAAAAACCCAGAGTCATTTAACACAGAGGGTTGAAATGTCATTACCAGCAGTAAAAACCTTGTTTGGGTCTAACCCGCACCCCGCTAAAACCCCAAATAAACAAATCCATACCCATAGGTATGATAACCCATAGGAAGCATTGTGATGTTTTTATTGCTTTTGATTAGAATTTGGTGATTTTTAATCTCCCATTTCCGTCATGTTTGCAGGTTGGACCTTTGTTAAACACAATGATAAAGGGGCGCTATGATTAATTGGAGCTGTAAAGAGCAGTGAACTAGTGTGTGTGCTGCTGCTTTCTTGATTCACTTGTGAGATGAGCAAAAAGCATAATGACGATTGGAAGCACTTAACTGGCCAACTGTTCTCGGTACTTTGGATTACACCACTCACTACTGTACTTTAAGATCTTCTGTATTTATTTTCTGGTTGCTGAAGACAAGGAAGATGATGACCAACAAAACAATGCAACACCTAATGTTCCTTGGACTCTGTTCAGACAGTGGACTCGGATGGCTTTTTATTTGCCCATTTCCCATCTTGTCTGCATGTTTACCACATCCCTTCACTGCTTCAGGTACCATATCCAAAGACCTCAATCAGCCATGACAAACTTTTGCTTTAACTAAGGCACCCTTCATGGACAATTTTTGATAACCTATACATTTTTTTTTTCTGCCATTGAACTTGTTCTGTATCTAATATAAAGCTTATGCGTTACAGACATCTTGAGAAGGAAACGGTTGTAATAACGCTAATTGACTACTCAGGCAATTACATTTAGGTAACACATGTCTTCACCTTTTGGAAAAAAACACATGTATAATATTTACCTATTTTAAGGATATTTGTTTTACAACTGAATCAGTGTTTCAGAAAGCTGGATTCTCTTTGAAGGAGCTGTTGATATCCAGGCTGCACATGGAGGACAAGTGAAATAATTGTATGTACTTCTCTTCGCTGCTTACAAGGGGTTTAAAGAAGAGGAAACCAAATTGTTGATCTTGATCGTGCCTACAACAGTTATTCTCCATGCAAACAGAGTAAAATTAGTCTCCTAGCAACATTTCCAGCACATCTGTCAGCACCAAGGCCAGTTCCCTTGTATATTTGTGATCTCTCACCAGTGAATAACTAGTGGCTTTATGTATTAAGCTATACAATGGCTAGTCCCTACGGAATAGGGTTGATGTCAAAGTTTATCTCTGAAATTCAGGCAGTGAAGAAGCCATTTTAAATGAACAACAATGAGAAAGCCGGTTTTGTTTTTTTGTTTCAACGTATTGAGGCAGAATATGCATTATGTAGAGGCCATCAGTAACTTTTAATTTAAACCTACTCTAACCTCCCTCTCCTTTCCCTTCTGGACCCATCTACACTAAACCCCCAACCACTAAACCCTGTTCAGAATTAAAAACAGTGGCTGGAAAATATACACACGGTAGAATTTCTTTGAAAGTTTTGACAGTTTCTTTGACAGTTTGAGACATTGCACCTTGATTTATACAGATTAGATTTTAAAGTCATTAAAATTATTGATATTAACCGTACCTGTGCCGTGAGACCTCGCAGTGTTGTATAGAGCCATCTTGCAGGCATTTCTGGAGATAGTCCCAGACAAGTCTGTGAGGGCTCACCGCACAGATATGCGGACTGCATTGGGTAGAATTTTGGCTGGCGGGGGCTCTATCAACTGAAGCAAGAAGCTGAGGGGGATATAGATCCATTCAGGAGGGCCAGGGTAGACCGTTGTCTTTTAAAGTGGCTTCTCAAAAAAACCATCCTGTTTTATTGGGGCTTTTCTATAGCAACCTAACCCACATCAGGTTCCTCATACTAGTCTTGTTTGAAATTTCTGACCATCTGATTCTGAAATCTGATTGCATTTTATAGAAGGCGCTGTCTGGTGAAATCTGCCATGGCGGATATACCGAGAGAACCCAGGACCTGTAGGAAGGGGAGGTGTTTACTAGAAGTAACTTTTAGAAAGGCAACCCATAACCAGTCAGAAGTCATTTTGTACTGATTTAACTGATGTGCTTGGTTGCGTTTGGGTTGAGCTGCCCATTAATATTGGATGACAGTTGTCCTAACTGTTAATTATTTTTTTTTTGGAAGATCGAAAGACTATTCCATGTCTATAGGCCTTTAAGCCACCTGATCCTGTTTTGTGAGGATGGGTGCAGAGGTCTTTGGGCACCTTTTTAGAGTGCACAAGTTTTTCTTTTTTCTTTACCCAGCCTTATTAAATAAGCCATTGTTGGCCCTTTTTCAGTCAAGAGTTTCTAGTCTTATGCCCTGATACTGAAGTGCAGTACCCCATAGCAACCAACAACTATTTACGCTCCTGAAATTAAACCAGTACAAGATGGGTTCTTATTGCTGCACTTAAGAATTGGCACTTAAGAATGTGAACTCTTTTTGAACAAGGCCCTATTTCTGATAAAACAGTCGCACCTCCTGAATACAAATCACAATGGGCTGCATTGAATTTATAGTCTCAGCACCTAAAATGGTTACTGTTGCTATGTACATTTTACAGTTTGAAAGTGCTCGATTGTGGCTAGTCTTTTGTGGACTTGGACTAGGTAGTAGATGGAATTCTTGGCCAAACGTTTTTTCCTTTTATACTGACATTGTAATTAAGAGTGACTTCTTTATGTGCCCAGGATACACAATGTAATAGTTTTCCTATGCGTTGTGACGTGCTGGTTTTTTTACTTTGTTTTTTTCTTTTTTTTTTTTACTTCACCTTTTTCAGTTCAATTGGTACAGAACATATAGTGATATTCTGTTGCAATTAAATGTGAAATATTTGGGGTTTTGGCGTGCTGACCTTTTTGTTTGGAGTCTGTTAAAATTGGCCAAAAGCCTCAACCTTTTTAATGTATGTGTGATTCTGCAATATCTGACAGGCAGCCAGGTTCTAATGTGTGAATAAAATTTTAACTGATTGACCTATTCTATTGGGAATACATTGCTGTCCTGTCACTTCATGTACTCCAGAATTATACTTGGAATCTTCACTTAAAACAAAACATTCAAAAAAACCAAAAAAATATATTATACAATGTTAAGCCCCCATTCAGTTGAGCATTGGGTTGCTTTGCACACATTTTACTTCCTGTGTTTTAAGGCCTGAATGTTTTTGTTTTAGCTAGTGGAAAGCAAGTTAGGAGGAGACCTTCGTTAGGCATGAAAATGCCCGTTACTTGTGTTTTTTGTTTTTTTTTCCCCAGGCATTTCCATTGAAGTCTGTTGAAGCCAAAAACACAATCATTTCCCAAAAAAAGCCCTTTTTTTTTTTTTTTT